GGAAATGAATCTGGTTAAAATATATTTAATGTATTATTTCCTTCTTCGTTTCATAAACATAAAATTTCTTGAGGAAAATTGTTCAAAATTAAAATTTATTCCCGTGATCTAAATTTGGTTGATATCTAAATAGGTTGATATATTGTATTGTATTTTATATCGAGGGCGTCATATCAGAAGGGCGTACTAACCAAATCTGAAATTTTACAGGCATACACCTTTCTGATATAGTTTTGCAAAATCGGTTCATACGTCTAAGTAAAATGCTTTAGAATAGATGTTGATGTTTATGAATATATACCTACGCCCTTCTGATATATTAAGCTATTAAGCGAATTGATTAAATGAGGTCATACGCCCTAAAAACCTAAAACCGACTATAGTGGCTCTTACGTCCTTCTGATATGACGCCCTCGATATAATTTTTCTCAATAGAATTTATTTATAGTTAATATGAAAAATGCACTCATATAGGATCGTCGATAAATTAAAAATTTTTACTGATACATATTAAATACTGGTACATCAGGATTGGATATCCATGTGTGATGGCAAGAACTATATTTCAAATTATTTCTTTGTATAGGATACCCTGTTGGTCCACTTAAAACTATGTTTTTGAATATTCGAACATAACCAGGTCTTTTAAAAAGATAGACTTTTGCTCATAATATGAAATATAATAAATACAGTTTTTTCCCTTTTCACTTCGATATGTGAACACAGCATTTACAGAAAGTTTTTTCAATATGAAATGATCAAAAGTATAGATCAGTCAAGTTTGATTTTAAAACAGTTCTTCGTTTGACTATATAATTTTTTATTTTTAGTATTCATTTGGTATTAGTTTGCTGTATTATTGTTTTTATTCAAATTCGTGATGAGTTTAAAAAAAGAAAACAAACAAATACAAATTTATATACAGGGTTTGCACAAAAATGTTAGATTCGACTTTGAAGCCATCGGGAAAGTAAAAAATTCTTCATTCAACTAAGTTTTAACAGTCTTGATTTCACTTAAGGGACTTACTAATCGGTAAGATTATTTTGCACACAGTTTTTATAAATTTGTAAATATAAAATCTAATTTCATTGTTTCGTACTTTTATAGTACATTTGTGAGAAAAAGATTCACAAAGCATTGTATTTCTATGCAGGAAAAAATAGTAAAGACTAAAGTTGTACGAAGTTTATTGCGATATCAATAAAATACATACATAAAGAAAAAAATGACCTAACTCCTGCATTTCGAAGATATAAACCAAACTGGTGTGTTTTTAAGGAATACCCTGTATATTTGTCGCTTTTGGAATCTACTCATTTTTCTGATAAAGTGATGTACATACCTACATATCATATAATATTTGCTTTGACATCAGTTTGCACAATATTTTTATTTACTGACCTTCCACAATGCTTAAGGATAAACTAACTGCGCTATTAAATTTACTAAACAGATATTAATTTTTTTTATTATAAAAAAAATAATATATTATCGAGTTCTAGACAAAATTAACTTTTTTAAATATTTTCTTTTAAGAACGAATAATTTTACCATCCTCAAGAAGTCTTTATCTAAACTCCATATCGTTGTTTCAATACATGCATACAGTGGACTGAGGGGAATGGTGATGAACCTTTGGAAGCCAAGCAGGGCAGTATTAAACAAATTAAACTTACGGATTTTTAAAAATAATAGTTGTATGAATGTTCGTTTTTGCCTTGATTTTTCCTTACTTTTTTGTACATTTGTATGTATATTAATATAAATTTCGTTTACCTATAAATAACTACCTACAAATTTTAGTTTTTCTTTACACTTTTTTATATGTCAGTTTGTATGTATGTGCATAGAATAAATTCCTACAATGCTTATTTTGCATCTGTATTACATATCTGGGAATTTTAAAGACGTTTCAACGATCCTGATTTTTCACTAATCCGGATCGCCCTGGTTTTAATTGATCCGGATTAGCGAAGCTTCACTGTACCCTTAATCCAGTTCTAGATAAAGCACATATATTTCAAATAAGTTTTTTTTTGTAATGCCCTGTTTCCCACCTCGTTGGTGATTGACCTGAACTAACTTCCATCAATATTTTCTCCTGTAGCTCATGTAAATTATTAGGTCTTTCTCTGTTTTTATCTCTTTAACTATAGAAGGAACTACAATACTATTAAATGATTATTACTAAATAATCAATTTACTTAATAAAGGAATTTGAAGATTAAGGAAAATAACTCATAGACTTGAAAATATTTTATACGACAGTGTCACTGACAGACTGACACTAGTGACAGTGTTGACAGTGCGTCTTCTTCCAATTTTTTTCCTTTACGCAATCATTTACACAAAATTTCACTTCAAGGTGCCCCTTATGACGTCACAGCCGTTTTGAAATTTATAAAAAAATCAGTTTTAAATAATTATTTTAAAACTGCTCTGTCGCATTTCTCAATCTCTAATTGTGTATACACACTAGCTAGTACATGTAGAATTATATTATCCACTTTTTGAAATTTGGTCAGCAACCCTATTGCCTCATCATGTTTCACTTTTGGTTCAACCCTGATAACTTCCTCTTCCGAGTTGCTCTCGTCACTATGCGACAGTAAATGTTCTTCGTCGCCAACTAATCATTCACAAATTTCTAGTACTGTCAGTTGGCTGCCCTCAGTGCTAACTTTCTGAAGCAATTTCTGCAAGTTCTCTTTCGTCTTCACTGACAGATTTACGTATTTCTTTAAGTCGAGACAATGGGACCAAATCTTCAGAATTCCAATCAGTCATTGTCCCAATAGAAAAATATTTTGTATCAACATTTTTACACGCGACTACAGCGGGAAATACAAATGTACATACGTATGATCCGGACTATGGAATCACAAGTAAATACGGCTTATGAGGAACATAATGTTAATGAGTGATATTTCATTTTTGTCCGGATTACTAGGAAATCCGGATTATTGCAGTCCGGATTAGTGAAGCTTCACTGTATTATGAAACACATTAAAGATACGATACCGCAGAAAACATACCCACCCAGTTGTCCTATGGCAAACTTGAATATGTGCAAGATCAGTAAATACATCTAAATTTTATGCGACATGTATTTATCATTATAATCAGTGAAAAGAGAGGAATTCAAAAAAATGATAAATAACGAGCGTTCAAATAAAAACGTGGTCGAAGTTGGCTCTGACACATTGGACGTAGGGAGTAGCTTATAGCGACCAACTTAACCTCATTTCTCAACGAGCTGTATAGCAGCTGTCAGTTTCAATAACGTTAATGACTATATAACTTTATTTTAAAGAATAATCGTGATAACAATAACAAACAATTAAAGGAGCTGCGGAAAGTGTCCCCCTCCTTGTTATAACAATAAATTAAAGCAGCTGCTGAAAGTGTCCCCCTCCTTGTTCCAAGCACTTTTCACACCTGTTCCTCAAAGAATTAAAGACATTTTCTAAGATGCTCGGGGTATTGTTAATTTCACGAATCTTGTCTATAAGTCGAGCCTGCAGATGGTTTAAATCAGGAATAGGCAGTTCAAAAATAGTGTTTTTAAGGTAAGGCCACAAAAAGAAATCACACGGCGTAATATCACATGACCTCGGTGGAAATTCATGTTCAGCATTGAGACTTATTAGTCGATTTTGGAAAACTTCCCTCAACATATTCATCGTCTCGCCTGCCGTATGTGCCCTTGCGCCATCTTGTTGAAAGTAAAAGTTTGTAATTTCGTTTTCTTCCAGCTGGTTAACAAAAGGAGCGATAATTTCTTCTCTATACCTTTGCGCAGTAAGAGTACCATTAAAAAAAATAGGTCCATAAATCCTCCTTCGATTGAGAGCACACCAAACTCCAATTTTTTGAGCGTGTAGAGGGCCCTCGACAAAAAAGTTATCTGGTTTTTCAGAAGACCACATTCTCATATTCTGTGAGTTTACGTAACCACTTAAATGAAACCAGGCTTCATCAGAAAAAAAGGTGATATTATGAAGTTCACCGTAGTTGTTTAAAAACCATTCACAAAATACAGCCCGTCGCGGAAAATCAACTTCATGAAGTTCTTGCTGACAAGTTAAACGATAGGAGAACAAACGCAAATCTTTTTTTAACACTGTGTGGCAGGTACCGACTGATACTCCCACCATTTGTGATAAAACACGTACAGAAGTTCTTGGCGCATTTTCCATTATTTGTTGGACATTTTCTTTTAATTCTTCAGTCCGCTTTTTAGGTCGGCCGCTTCCTTCTTTTCTTGTTACACTGCCCGTTTCACGAAAAACATTAACACAACGCTGAACTGCACTTTGAAAAATTTTGTACTCAACAACGCCGGGAAATTGATTTTGAAATTCTATGAAACATTCCTCAATAGAATACTTCCATATTCCATCAATCTTGCGTCCATTTCTAAAGTAGGACTCTATGATAAACACTTTTTGTTCTTGAGAAAACACCATTTTAAACGCTTTTTAAAACGAAAATATTCAAATTGATAGCGGCGATATAGCGCTTTGACAGATGACGTTTAAGTTCATTTGCTATACGCTACGCCCTACGTCCAAATTTTCAGAACCAACTTGACCACGTTTTTATTTGAACGCTCGTTGTATAGGTGCCCTATTAAAAAAAAGAAAACAAAACTTTAGTTTACAATTTCATAATGCAACAGTTGTTTTTTTATAAATTGCTTTAATATCACAGGAAAATTTCCTAAAACTTTGGTGTTTACTATTTTTTCGTATACCTGATAGAAAAGTAAAAAACATAAAGAGGTAGTGTTGTATTCCATTTGATAAGCGTTTCGCTCATCAGATAAGCATCATCTGCACATCATCAAACCAGTTTCCAGTACTTGCATTATATTCACCAGGAAGTAGATATTTCTTCATTAAACCTGAACTGTTATTTGAATCTCCGTGTGTGCGGTTGTGTTCAGTGAGATGGACTAGAACCGGCGCGTGTGATGCGCGTCTAACCAAGGAGCCATGGACTCCCTGGAGCGGCTGATGAGCGCCGCCAAGCCCATTCACCCAGCGCTCGTTGGTGGCGCAGGCGGAGGAGGAGGCAGCGTCGGCGGCTCGCTGCCCCGCAGGGCCCTGGTGCACGCCAGCCTGGCGACGACGGCCGCGGTGGGGAGAAGGGGTCGCCACCTAACGGGCACGTTCTGTCTAACAGGGGACACCATGGAGGGCATCATACAGTGTTTGGTGTTCCTCAAGGCCTTTTCGGTAAGTGAGGGGATGTAGGGAATTGGGAGGTTTAGCACAATGTGCCTTTTTTGACACATAAACCATTAAGATTTATTCATGAAATTACATGAAGATTTAAATCTCCCATTTTTGTCTGCTTCTGTTTTAAATTTTTCTTAAATGAAATTAGTATGTGACCAACAATACAATTGTATTATTAGAATGGAGACTGCGAAGAACGAATGGGACTCCAGGCTATACAGGGTCGGAAAGTCCCCATGGTTCATCGGCCGTTACGTGAGAGCGATAAAGTAAGTCATAGAAATCCATGCGATAGAGAAGGATGGCTATAATGAAGGCGTCTCATAGTCACCGCCCGTTTCGCCCTTCCACAAATAAGATCCACTTCCACTTGTAATTCAGCGACCGGTGGTCATCTTTGTTTTCGTCGTTTGCCTTTTCTGTAATAGATGTCACTACTTATACAATTCCGACTTCGTATTCCGATATGTTAATACAATCCGTTAACAGAGGGCAGCACAATTTGTCTAAGGTGAGGCGCAGCCCTAGAAAGAGTGATGCCAGATCTACAGATTTTTTTGGAATTGGGGAAATAGGGAATTTTGCTTTATTTCTTGGGATTTTTAAGTCATTTTAAAAAGTATACTTAAATAACAACTAAATGAACTTTAAATGCAGCTGAGCACTATACTCCATTTGAATAACTTCTCAGTAGGGGAAACAAGGTCACTAGATTTACAAACAGAGGTATCTACTAGCTACTGTAAAAAGTTTTCTTTGTTACGCGTTGTGCTGCCCTCTGTTAACGGATGGTATTAACATATCGGAATACCGAAGTCGAAATTGTATAAGTAGTGACATCTATTAAAGAAAAGCCAAACGACGAAAACAAAGATGACCACCGGTCGCTGAATTACAAGTGGAAGTGGATCTTATTTGTGGAAGGGCGAAACGGGCGGTGACTATGAGACGCATTCATTATAGCCATTCTTCTTTATCGCACGGATTTCTATGACTTACTTTATCGCTCTCACGTAACGGCCGATGAACCATGAGGACTTTCCGACCCTGTATATTCAATAAAAATTAAAATCCTGGACACATTATTGTACTATTTTTAAATTCGTAAAAAATGTGTCATAGATCCTATTTTCAGTTTCGTTTCAATCAATATGTCTGATTCTAATAACGTCATATAAAGTTTCAAATAATATTTTAGTTATATATAACACATTTGTTAAATAATATTTTTCTTATTTATTAAAATAGTGAGGCAACTTTATTGTTCAAGAATATATTTAAAACTTATTTCGAATACTTGCATTTGCAGTTAAACAAAAGAAAAAAAACATACAAACTATATTAAAATTAAAATGTAGTTGTTGACTAGTTACGAAAAAATAAAACTAACCTATTTTATTAGATACAATATATTTGTGTCTGTGACTGTACATTTCTAATTTTAAGGCGCAAAGTCGGCATGCCTAACTGTGGTTATTAAGCGCCGACCTGCGATTCTGACTACTGAGCGACAATATTAAAAATTATAGAAAAATTCTAAGAAAACCAACCGAAATCATTTTTTAATTGTTCTGTTTCAGTTGTAAAATACCAAGTCATAGAAATGCAGCTAATAATTCTGATTCATGGTGAATGTTCCATGGATATAAAATAATTTCAAAATATCTTTATTATAATAATTGTTTTGTATTTTTCTTGTCGAGCAAATTTTTTCTTGTCGATTGATACTTGGTAAAATAAGGCACATTTGATGATATTTTTAACGTAATATTCTTGATATGTAAATGAATGCAAATATCTGAGCAAATCGAAATTGTAACCCCTACAATGTCTATGTCGGTGAAAAAAGGATTTGACTTTCTATAATATGGTGCAAAAAAATACAGGGTGTTCCATTTGCATATAAAAAGTTTTGTCGGTTTTAAATTTTTAGTGTTGTATCGAAGTGTACCTACAGGTTAAAATTTAGATTTTTTTCCTCGAAAATCAGATTCGATCGCACAAAAATAACAGAAAATACCTGTTCAGCACCAACGAAAATAGAAAGGTAGGCAAAATTTCGCTGATTTGATACTTTTACACTATAATAAATCACCTACATTTTATTTACTCTTACAACTCCTTGTCGAAAAGAAATATATTCTCGGCAAAATAATAATTTTGTCTCTGACGTACTGTGATAGTCGACATGTACAATTTACTTTTTAATATTGTTGGATACGGTTTCTTCTACAGAGACGGGTCGTGCGCTGGAATCTGACTTGTTAAAATTAATTTTCTCGTCTTCAAACTATCTCGGGGGCACATCTAGTATGTTATTTATTCTGAAGCCGTACGAAATTCCCTTTGCAAAAGTAGAAATACATTTTTAAGGAACATCCATCTTGTCAGCCTGTCTTGAACGCGACATGAAAAGTGCAGCCTTACGCCACGTCACGAATTCACGGAGACATCCTTTAAAGGAGGCAGGATATGACGCCTCGCGAAGTCCCAGGTGGGCCATATAAAACCGCCTTTTGACGCATAACTCTGGAAAAGAAGCTGTGAAGGTAGCGCGCGATCAAGACTTAAACGAAAAATAAGTGGAATAAAATATTAATCTATTTTTTTCTTTACTCTTTTTTCGTTTTCCGTACTTTAATAGGTATAAGTAGTCTCTAAAATCTAAATTTAATTTTTTTTGCGCCAATTTGTGCCGTTTACAGTAATACTGACTGAACCAGTGGCAGTGACGTCATTAGGCGATGACACATCAATCGTGAGGCTTTATATCTTCGGTCCTAATAATAGTAAGATAGTTTGCTTCTCTTATCTTTTTGGTTATTTTATGTCGGCCTATTTGTACTACTAGGACTAGACACCGACGCAGAAGACGAGTAACCTCCAACCTAGAAATTTTGCCGAACCCCCACTTTGTCGTGGGGTAGGGATCTTTTACTTGCCTAACATTGTTAACCCTCAAAGGTCGCGGTTGGGGTGGGCCACCTTAAATGTCACACTAGTGCGAATTGGGATTTTGCCAACTTTGCACCTTTGTTTTCTTTATTTGTTAACGAAAATATCGTACTTATATCAAAACTGGGGTAAAATTTTCCAAGAAGTCGAATGATATGATTAGTTTTGAAAAAAATAATTTGTTAATAAAAAATGCGACTGAAAAAAAAACATTTTTTGAAAAATTACTTTAAAATTCGCATTTTTTCATAAATAATGGCTAGAGAAAAACTGAAACATTATTTTGAAATTCAAAGTATATATTTTTAAGAAAAAAATACCCCATATTGATAAAATGATATTGTCGATTTTTCCCGGCATTTTTTAAGTGATTTTTGGTTCCTCTTCTGTAAATTGATATTTATTTTGTACTCTTTTGAATAAAAATATTAATTTAAACAATATTATGCATAAATATTGACAAATACATGTTACAATTAAACTGTTAATGAAACAAAAATATTAACAATAACTAAATAAACAATATTCTAGTCTATTCGACACTTAAAATGAGGTTTTATAAATTCAGCCACACTTTTGCCCACACTACAGTCAAACTAATGCGAATTTGCGCCGATCGGACTTTTCAGACTCTTTAGTTTGGCCGACAANCCGTTTATAATAATACTGACTGAACCAGTGGCAGTGACGTCATTAGGCGATGACACATCAATCGTGAGGCTTTATATCTTCGGACCTAATAATAGTAAGATAGTTTGCTTCTCTTATCTTTTTGGTTATTTTACGTCGGCCTATTTGTGCTACTATGGCTAAACACCGACGCCAGAAGACGAGTAACCTCCAACCTAGAAATTTTGCCGAACCCCCACTTTGTCGTGGGGTAGGGATCTTTTACTTGCCTAACATTGTTAACCCTCAAAGGTCGCGGTTGGGGTGGGCCACCTTAAATGTCACACTAGTGCGAATTGGGATTTTGCCAACTTTGCACCTTTGTTTTCTTTATTTGTTAACGAAAATATCGTACTTATATCAAAACTGGGGTAAAATTTTCCAAGAAGTCGAATGATATGATCAGTTTTGAAAAAAATAATTTGTTAATAAAAAATGCGACTGAAAAAAAAACATTTTTTGAAAAATTACTTTAAAATTCGCATTTTTTCATAAATAATGGCTAGAGAAAAACTAAAACATAATTTTGAAATTCAAAGTCTATATTTTTAAGAAAATTGATAAAATGATATTATCGATTTTTCCCGGCATTTTTTAAGTAATTTTTGCTTCCTCTTCTGTAAATTGATGTTTATTTTGTACTCTTTTGAATAAAAATATTAATTTAAACAATATTATGCATAAATATTGACAAATGCATGTTACAATTAAACTATTAATGAAAAAATATATTAACAATAACTAAATGAACAATATTCTAGTCTATTCGACACGTAAAATGATGTTTTATAAATTCAGCCACACTTTTGCCCACACTACAGTCAAACTAATGCGAATTTGCGCCGATCGGACTTTTCAGACTCTTTAGTTTGGCCGACAATAACAGAATAAGGCCAGCTGTGGTACGGCTCGACTGTTTGGGCTATAGAGAAGGAATTATCGTGATGGGGAAACCCTCGACAGTTGCTACCTGAGAAATGCCAGCTGTTAGAAAAAACGGTTAAGTTAAGACAAAGGACCTAAGGTTTTACATCTTTTTCGAAAAAGGGTAAGTCCTACACAAACCANTGATATTATCGATTTTTCCCGGCATTTTTTAAGTAATTTTTGCTTCCTCTTCTGTAAATTGATGTTTATTTTGTACTCTTTTGAATAAAAATATTAATTTAAACAATATTATGCATAAATATTGACAAATGCATGTTACAATTAAACTATTAATGAAAAAATATATTAACAATAACTAAATGAACAATATTCTAGTCTATTCGACACGTAAAATGATGTTTTATAAATTCAGCCACACTTTTGCCCACACTACAGTCAAACTAATGCGAATTTGCGCCGATCGGACTTTTCAGACTCTTTAGTTTGGCCGACAATAACAGAATAAGGCCAGCTGTGGTACGGCTCGACTGTTTGGGCTATAGAAGGAATTATCTTGGTGGGAAACCCTTGGTGGTTGCTACCTGAGAAATGCCAGCTGTTAGAAAAAACGGTTAAGTTAAGACAAAGGACCTAAGGTTTTACATCTTTTTCGAAAAAGGGTAAGTCCTACACAAACCACGCTCAAATTTGTATAACTTCTGTGAATAAACCAAGATACAGGCCATTAGAAGGTGATCGAGCATCGCGAGCCTTCCCCGGATGATCACCCATCCAAGTGCTAACCGCGATCAGCGTTGCTTGACTTCCAAAAGATCCGCATTCTGCAATTTAAATGTTCTAGGTACTTTTCGGCTTGCAACACAATGAAGTGTTTTATTTGCATTTCCCAATTCCAGCGCATTCTCGACGGTGCTTTCTCGAGCGTGTCCCGTCGCGTTTTCTTCGGCCGCCAGAGCCGCGCCGCGCCTCGGCTCCACTTCATTAATCCGGTTGAAATAATAATTGCGGTGTGGGAGAGTGCGCGCGTTTATCATTAATTAAACCGTCGGCGGGCGTCGCGACGACGGGCGCTGAATGCAAAAACATGCGGGGCCGTGCATCTCTAGCATATGTTTGAAGAAACGTGACCGGCTTTAGGCTACAGGATTACTCCGGGAGCGGCGGCCTTTGTTATCGAGGGATCGAAGCAGACGGTTTGGTGCAGGTACAGGGCGATCGATTTCAGCCCTTATCGTTACAGTCACAGTCCCTTCTCTTTCTACAGTGTATAACGTCCAATTCTAGTTATCGGACTAGACAATTAAATTATCCAGAAAATTATAAAACTAGACTTACATAATTTAACAAATATTTAGGCTTTTGTCTACAGGTGTGCTGTGGGACTGGGGTTGAGGAGGTTTGTGATTATAAAGTGATTAGATTAGCACCCTTGAAAACGGGGGGAGGATCACAGAGGTAATTTTTAGGGTGAGACGAAAATTAAGGTCAGTTTTGGTCCGTCCAAGGGGGTTGTAGTCCAGTCGGGTTGTCATTTAACCGGGACTGAATTCCACCCCTGCATCAGCCGCCATCTTGAATTTAAAGAAAAATCGTTTTTGCTCAATATCTCGGCCATTTTCAACTTTACAACAAAAATGGTAAGGACTTAAGTTGGTGCAAATGCGATTTCCTACTTCTTTAATTACAAATTTTATCGTGCGATCGATATTTTTCAAGTTAAGGGTGAAAATAGTGACAAAGTATAATTATTGAATTATCTCGTTTGTTATTGACTATACGACATAAATGTACATAAACAAAGTTGGAAAGAATTAATTTTCTACAATTTTGATCTCTTTGATTTTTTCGCTATTACCAACATTTAAGGTCCTACGCTTGCGATAAAAGCACAGAGCAATATGAAAATCGTTTTTGCAAACTCTTTTCCACAACACCACCGGGGTAGAGTTTCAGGCGCGTTTTTTTTACGTGGTATCCCCAATAGGCCTAATCCACGTGTCATTGCTTGCAAGATAGTTGCGACTTCTGCCGTCTTCCTCTTTATAAAAGTTTCTTGCAAGCGTTAAAGGTGTAAGATATGTTTTTTTTTTTAATTTATTTTTTCTTATAAAGTTTGAACCATTCTTGTTCATGGCCAGCTGCCGGTGACGTCAGGTCTATGGAATGTTGATCCCTTGAGTTTAGTTAGGCTTGCCATAGGCGTAGGACCTTAAATGTTGGTAGTAGCGAAAAAATCAAAGAGGTCAAAATTGTAAAAAATATAATTCTTTCCAACTTTATTTACGTACATTTATGTCGTAAAGTCAATAACAAACGAGATAATTCAATAATTATACTTTGTCACTATTTCCCCCTAAACTTGAAAAATAAAATTTGTAAAAAAGAGGTTGTAGGAAATCGTATTTGCAACAACTTGAGTCCTTACCATTTTTGTTGTAAAGTTGAAAATGGCCGAGATATTGAGCAAAAACGATTTTTCCTTAAATTCAAGATGGCGGCTGACGCAGGGGTGGAATTCAGTCGCGATTCTGAATTTACACTCCTCCTAAAGGTTAGAACAATAAAATTGTGGTCCCTAATTTTTTCCCGGTTAAGGCCTTTTTTTGTCTAACCCGACTGGACTATTGCCAGTGTTGGGAAGGTGAAAAGGGGGAAGGGATATAGAGTTCATCACTTGTACCCGAAATAAAAAGAGTATAGGTTTTGGCTATCAATTAGAAATTCAACAAACCTCAAACCCTCGAAAATGGGGAGGGGGGAGAGGTTAGTGTCGTACCTGCAACATTTTCTTTCCAAAATAAGCCATTTTTTGCAATCTTTCTAATGATGTTTCCAAAATTCCAGGGAGCTCGATGCTTTCAGCTCGTTTGAGAGTATCTGGATTTTTCCGGATTTCTCTACAAAGTTCAGACCAAAATATTATCTCTCTCACTCTAGAATTTCGGTATTAAGTTCATTAAATGCCATGTACCAACCACCGATTTATCTGTGTCGTTATTCTTTAAGGAATACTTGTGTTCTTTTAAGCCTAAAAGATAACTTTTGTCTTCTGTGATAAGCCTTTGATATCCTTTAATCAACACTATTGTAAACAATCACGCCACGTTAAAACATTACTACGATGTGTTCCACATCTAGTTGGATTCTCTTGATGTTGTCGATAAAATCCCAAGCTTTTTCAGTTGGTCTTCTGCCTTCCCACTAGATCTTTAATTTTCCATCTACACCCACTGTTACTCGCAGTGATATACCTTTCATTTGAGGACTGGAAGTTAGGATATTCTTAAGTGACTTGGAATCAGATTGCTGTGCAGTTCCTCGGGAATATTAGAGTCCCGAATGGTCATGTCCTTAAATTTCTTTATCGAATAATTGTTTTTGATCTTATACATTGGACGATATCCTTTGTTGTGTTCAATAGAACAGTTACATTTCCTTTGACAGGGAGTATGGTGATATCTTCATTTCCTGTAGTTCATTGATGATGGTTTCCGAGGTTTGACAGTTCATATTATATTGGTTGCCTCAGGCCTTTTGCAGGGCGATTATGTTGTCTGATCTGAAGTGAACGCCTATATCGTCCCTATTGTCACGTAGAGGCGTATGTGTATATCCATTTCTTGGATTATACGCTCCTACGTGATAAGAGGGACGATATAAATCTTTACTTTTTACCTTTCCCCAGAGGATAATAAAAAGTAAGTTATTTCCAGGTGGAAAATTGTATTGCACATCTGAACTTAAGTGCACCGTTAACACCGATTCATTGATTCCTCCCCGCTCCAGCCTCATTGGAATTCATCTCGCCTAGCTGCATTCAAAGGCAAACGTGCCTTGAAGACCTGCGGCCAACTACCCCGTCGGAATCTAATTAGAATCGGAATGTTTAATATGTTTCACTCTCGCGACATTTACTGTTTTATATCCACTTAATTCTGTTTGCTCGAAAGCGAAGTAAATTCATGATGTTCTTGAACACGGTGTTTGATGGCTGCCTTTCGCAACGATGAGGATATTAAAGATTTTTGAGTTAAAATTTAATTTATTGCTGAATAAGTGGAGCTTGATATTTCGATGTGTAAGTAAAAGGGGGAGGTGCAGAACCCGTATCGTAGCTCCGCAGCCTGCTTCGTTTCGAGTGTTTTTTACGCATGCACATCTACTTCTAAAGAAATTAGAAAATATCTCAATGTCCGAGCTTTTCCTAGCCTATCAAATAAATTTTATACGACCTAATTTTCATCTTGTGTGTGTTAGGCCAATCATTATAGCTTTTTTCGGAAAAAAAAATACTATTGGAAGTTTCTCTGCGGAATATTGTTCAAAAACGTGTTATAAACAAAATATCAAAAAATCTACTCGAGACTAGTTGGGAAACTTTGTTAAAACAATGGTCAAAATTATGGAAAGTAGTTTTTCGACTGGCGTAAAAAAACGCGTTATTCATAGAGACAAAAAGGTTTATACAAAAAAGGTATGTATTAAATAAATCTGTAAAATAAGACAATTCCGATTAAATTCCGATAATTTGTTTATGCGCAAGAGCTCAAAAATGGTCGAAATTGTCCGCTTTTTTCAATTGCTAATAATTAATGCAATTTTCATCACAGACACTTGTAATTCAGGATTTTTTAAGTTTTTTGCACCCTTAATAAGTGGTAAAATTTTCAGCTCAGAAACTTCATTACCTTGGCGTTGGCGGAATTTGTTATCTAAGAAGATGCTATTTTCAATTCATTTTCCCAAACTCACAGGCGTTGTAGGGTTTCGATCATTAGTTGTTTTTGTACCTAAATAGTTGTATTGACATATGCATTTACTGATAATTTAATTTTTCAAATTTAATTTGTTTAAAAATGACTGAAAAAATGTTAATATTTATTACATCGTTAAGCCCGCATGCTAAGCCTCGCCTTCCCCACTCGTTCGCTAGACCAAGTAATAGAACGCATCGCCGCTATCTTCTTTTTCGAAATTAAATAGTTGAATTCACCTTAAGTTAATGTAGGACATGAAAATATAGCTCTTAATGTATACTCTCTCCAAATTTCGGCTCTTAATATTAATAATTAAGGTCACTGCGATTAAATAAATACAAAAAATTATCTCAGCTTCTAATCAACTTACAACGATTTTTTTTTTAATTCGAAGAAAACAAGTAAAGAGGTTACTATTTTGTTTTATAATTTAATAAACATTAACATTTTTTCAAAGTCAATTTTAAACAAATTAAATTTGAAAAACTAAATTCTCAGTAAATGCCTATGTCAATACAATTATTTAGGTACAAAAACAACTAATGATCGAAACCCTACAACGCCTGTGAGCTTGGGAAAAATTAATTGAAAATAGCATCTTCTTAGATAACAAATTCCGCCAACGCCAAACCAATGAAGCTTTCGAGTTGAAATTTTTACCACTTATTAAGAGTGTAAAAAGCTTAAAAAATCCTGAATTACTGCGATGAAAATTGCATTAATTATTAGCAATTGAAAAAAACGGCAATATTCGACCATTTTTGAGCTCTTGTGCATAAACAAATTATCGGAATTTAATCGGACCTTTTTCATTTTATAGGCTTATTTAATACCTACCTTTTTTGTATAAACTTTTTTTCGCTATGAATAATAGCTTTTTTACGTGAGTCAAAAAACCACTTTTCCATAACTTTGACCTCTGTTAAAACAAAGTTTCCCAACTAGCCTCGAGTTGACTTTTTGATATTTTATTTATAACAGGTTTCCGAACAATATTCCGCAGAGAAACTTCTAATAGTATTTTTTTCCCGAAACAGGCTCTTTCATGTCTATAATGTCTGGGCTATGTGTAATACTCCAATGT